TTTTTTAAAAATGTTATTCTCTAAACAAGGGTGCCAGCATTGTCGCAAAATACGCCCGTAATAAAAGCTTTTGACAGATGTGGCGTTATAGATATGCATATAGGAGATATGCTCTGGGCAATATCCGGACAATATCTGGATGTTCTATCAAATATAAACTTAAATTGTATGTGACACATTTGTAGTCATGATAGTCATCATTTGTGAATGATGACTAAATGGTCCCGTACACAAATTTTGACTTCACTATGTGACCTTGACTTTGGTAGCAGAGACCTTGATTATGTGCACAATACTTAGCTTTACAATGGTAGTCATGATATTTCCATCCCTCAATAAATGATGTGTAAATGATCTGAATACACATTTTTATCGGAACTTTGACCCCTATGTGACTTCGACCTTGGCCACAGGCACTTGAATTTCGCACGTGATGCTCGCCTTACAATTGTGTACATTTGTGCCAAGTTATATTGAAATCCCTCTATGCATGTAGAAGTTATGCTCGGACAAGCGTTTTTCAATGACCTCTAAGTGTGACCTTGATCTTTGACCTTGAGACCTGGTTAATAAATTAGATAATTGAGACATTACTTTACACTGTACATATATGTATACCAATAAGAAATCAAAGTTACAGTTTGTCCCATCTGTTGCATTATTAAATATTCAAAAAAAAAAAAAGAAATGAAAAAATTGTCTGATATTGTCTGATTTAAACTATGTTACAAAGTACCATGACTAAAATGTCTTGACAAAAACTGCCGATGCATTTGTTATAATATTTGCATTTTGCACCAGTCCATTAATTGTAGCTCCGCCCACAACCGGAATAGTTCATGGGAAAGCTTGACCATGAGCTTAAGTAGGGCTAATGTGCTGGTTCAAAGCATTAGAATGGACAGGAATACATGTATATATACCCAACTCTCACTTCCAGTGTCTTTTAATTTAGATTCTACCATTTGACTTGCCCAACAGACAGAACCTTTGCTATGGTTTTGCGATCCTATAGTTCAAGTCTCTGCTTTGCAAGGAGATAGGGTATGGTTACAATTGCCTGGCAAACAACCATGTCATATGGCAACTTTCCATCTTACTTGTCGAGGTCGACCTCAGGTGACCCTATGTACGTCATTTCAGGCACGGGCACTAACGGGCACCTGATTAAGCTAGATGGATAGCTTCCTCACATGAAGGAATCAAAGTCCCTGGTGGGATTCAAACCCACAGCGATGAGCGGCAAGTGGTTTGAAATTAACGACCTTTACCACTCGAACACGGACGCCCCACACTTTAACACAATATCATGTACTACTACTATTCTCCCGGATGACCTGGGCAAAAATGATCACCGAAATCACGAGACACAAAGACTTTGAATTAGTAATGTTTGCCTGTTCCCATCTGAAATTGATTGCATACTTTTTACGAGTACATCTACAAACACTCATCTACAAACACTTATGAAGAATACATTCTTTCAAGTAATTTGTGTCTGCTTTAAGCTACCTCGAAAACAATATATATACAAGATATATGTAGGCACAACATTCACATTTAAACTTCTGGATTTCAAGTGCTACTGTATCAGAGTTTTTATACTCCTTGCTGTAACAGCATGTATTTGCCACCTTGTCAATTCGTTATCCTTCCTTCTATCTATAGGGAAAATATATTATGGGGTTAGGGTAAGAGCCACTTGACATTACGGGGTTCATTCCGGGTTGAAAAAGTGGCTTAAAATGTGGGTGAAAGTAAAAGTATTAAAGGAATGTGATTAAAACTTCATACAGTCATATGCTAATTATTGTATTTTTAATAGCGTTTTAATCCTTTGATCAAGAATAAGATGATTTGTATTAAGTCCATTTGTATAGTTCACTGTTTTTTTCTCTCTAGAGACCAATCGTTCAACATATGAACTCTACTCATGTAAATAGAATGATGCCAAATGTATACAGAGATAAGAAATTGTCACATTTTATATCATTGTGAGATTGTTTATCATAAAACAATGTTTAATACAATTGTAATTCTTTTTCTTGTTCTCGGAACAAGTACAGTTTACAGCCTACTGCTAGATGAACAGCCGGACAGCAGTGTTCTTCAGCTGTTGGTGAAACTAGAAGCTGATGTTAACAGTAATAAAGCTCAACTCAAAGAACTACAGGAAGCATGTACATGTTCAGGTACCGCTTATTGTCTCAACCTTTGTCGTTTAAAGAGTATAGTTCATTTCGTTAAGGGAGATTTAATGGATTATTGGATTTTTGGCAAAACTTTTTTTATAATAATCTAGTCCGACAAACCAAATCACCTGAGGTAGATTTATATGATACAGTATTATCAATTTTTAACTTAATTCGTACTCAACTGTACGAACTGGTAGGTCTCTGTCAGCAAAACTAAATAGCAAATAAAAGTATTTGGTAAGTTAAATCATAAATTACCATCCTGATTATACGCAGCGTGATATAGTTTTTAAAAGAAAAAAAAAGGAAATAATAATAATGCAAGTATAAAGAAGATTTCAGTGTCTGTAAATATATTTTAGGCTCTAACAAGGATCACAGCACAGCGTTTATGGCATCACTAGGTCATGCTATTACCGGATGCTTATCGGAACATCCTGTAATATTTGACCAGGTCAAACTAAATCAAGGCTCAGGCTACGATTACAGACATGGAACATTTCGTGCACCAGTTAACGGAACGTATCAGATAAGTGCAACATTGTCATCTACACCGAACAACGTTGGTTTCCATGTAGCGTTCGTGAAAAACCTAGCTAGTAACAGTGTTGGATATCTGTATGCTGATGCCAAACAACCTCACTGGCAGGAAAAGAGTACCTCGCTAGTATTACACCTGAACGCCGGCGACGATGTCTGGGTATCATGTTTAAGCGAAAGTACAATTCATGGAGACCACCAGACCGGAACCTCAGCCTTTCATTCTCATTTTTCTGGCTTTCTTATATCAAAAGATTGAAAAATCAAAACTACTTTAAAAAAAAAAATCTTTGATTTAATACTACCTGCTTATTTAATTGTGCTTTAAATATCTGTATAACGATGTCAACCAGTCTCATTTGCAGGAGAGAAGTACAACTTAGTATGTATAACAACGACATAGATTTATCGTGTAGAATGGATATCGTGAAAACAATAGAATGGTTCATGGAGATATATTATGTATACTTATATCTCTTCTTGAGTTGATATAATGGCTGATATTTGAACTCGATGGTTCGCAGTCGTCAGGCCGTTAACTGTCGATAGGCAACAAACTTTATGCTGCTAGGGCAAAAGGCCGCAAACTTTATGCCAATAGGTTGCCAGGCCGCTAACTTCATTCCGATAGAGCGAAAGGTCGCTAAATGTATGCTACTAGGTCGTAAACTTCATGTCGATAGGGCGAAAAGCCGCTAACTTCACAAAGCTGGTTAGAGTACATTAATTTTGATACTCCAAGTTATGCTATGTATAAAATGAATGCCTTTTTTACGCAAATGATTTTTTCAATTAGAAATTGTTAGAATTGACAGGTATATATCCAAATCTCAATTCAAGTTTCTTTTACTTTGGATTCTACCATTTGACTTACTCCACAGACAGAACCTTTGCAAAGGCTTTAGCGATCATAAAGACCAAGTCTCTGTGTTGCAAAGGGATAGGGGTGTGATTAGAATTGCATGGTATACAACCATATCAGAGGCTCTAGTTTGTATTCTTCTTATTATAAGACATACATATATACCAATAACATTAATACTGCTTCTTTTATTAATTGCCCACAAGACACTAACCTTTTTGTTGGATTTTGTTTTATGTCGCATAAACACATTATAGGTCATATGGCAACATTTCATCTTACTGGTGGACGAAGACCTCCGGTGCCCCTCCGTGCATTATTTCAGGCGAGGGCTCTGACGGGCACCCGAGTAAGCTAGCTGGATAGCCTCCTGACATTAGAGAATCCAAAGTCCCTGGTAGGGATTCGAACCCACAACGATGGGCGGCAAATGGTTTTAAAATAACGACTTTTACCACTCGACCATGGACGCCTCGGGGTCACTCTAACACAATATTATGTAGTATTCTCCCGAATGACCTGCGCAAATATGATCACCGAAATTACAAGGCCCCTTTTCAATAAGTAATGTTTGTCCGTTCACATTTGAAATTGATTGCATACTAAGTACTTTTTTACGAGTATATCTGCAAACACTTATCTACAAACACTTTCAAGTAATTTGGGTCGGCTTTAAGCTACCTCGTAGACAATTGTTGTTTTTTTAAAAGACGATGATCAAGATACATGTAGGCACAGCTGCAACTGTATCAGTTATACTCCATGAAGTAACAGCATGTATTTGCCACCTTGTCAATTCGTCAATTCTTCCTTCTATCTAGGGAATATATATTATGGGGTTAGGATACGAGTACAAGAAGGTTCATTCCAGGTTGAAAAAGTGGCTTAAATTGTGGGTGCAAGTAAAGTATTAAAGGAATATGATTTAAACTTCATACAGTCATGTACTTACTACTGTATTTTTAACAGCATTTAATCCTTTGATCAGACATAAGATTACTAATAGTAAGTTAATTTGTATAATTCATCGTTCTTTCCTCTAGAGACCAGTTAGAGAAAATGCAGCGTTCAAGAACCATAATTTTACTTTGCTTTACTTTTTTAATTATCTCCCTTTATGGTTCATGTACTTTAAATGTTAACAATGATATTTTATGTAAACTTTACACATTTATAAAAAAGAAAACAAAAGAAGAAAAAACGAGAGGAAGCGCAGTGTTAAAAAAGAATCATAGCTCTACATTGTTTATCTTTGAATTATCTCCCTGCATAGTATTTAAAAGGGCTTGCCATTAATTAGCTTGAAAAATAAACTTTACACAACGATATTGGTATTAATAAGCAAGGGGAAGTGTAGTGTACACAATACATAATTCTACGTTGCTTAATTTTCAAAGATATACTCATTTATTTCATGCTTTCCAGTGTTTTATTGTAATATATCGGATGATTATATTCTGATAAACCACTAGTGAAATTTATAAAAAATAATTTTCACTGTAGCCGGACTATATCTGAATGCGGATGGACAGAAAATCATAAATAAATGGAATAACAGGCAGAAATAAATGCCGTCATACGTAAATTTTGCTTCTTTAGGAAAAGAAAGTCAATGTCATCATACATCATGTTAGAAATTTAACAAAATTAGAGAAATTTAACGGAACTAGATTTCAAAACTGATGATGTGACATCATGATATAATGACGTCACAAAGGAGATGCAAGACGTTACGCGGCAAAATCAGTAAAAAAATAGCTTAAAATCACTTAAAAAGCATAAAATAAAAAGAAAATTTATTTGTTTTACATATAAGATTGAAATATATTTCATTCGTGAACACCAGCTATTATATTTTCACTCGTGGCTACGCCACTCGTGAAAATATTGCATCTGGTGTTCACTCAGTGAAATTATATTTCAATCTTACATGCAAAACAAACAAATATCCTCTATATACATGCTCATCCTTGAGTAAAATATTTAAACCACAGAAAATTATTGAAATCTATGAAATTCTTAAGGAATATGTCTCATTTCAATAAAAGAATGAATTAACTGTGTATCGAAAGCTGGGATTCCTGTAACAGGTCAAGTAAAATTGGTCTTTTCTTAAAAGAAAACAATGCCAGTTTTTTTAACGACACTATATAATCAAATTGTGACCACCTGTAGTATGTAGAGTATCTACTGTGTGTGAAGTCATAACATGTTTATTTTGTTTATTAAGACACTGTGTAGCAATTATCAATAATTTCTAATATCAAATTTGAGCATAGTATATTTAATAATGTTTTTAATGTTTAATAATGATTGTAAGGATTATTGAAACCTAGAGACAAGTGAAATTAAGTACATCAAAAATCATAACTCTACATAAGTTAGTTTTGTAATGATCTCCCTTTATGATACATACATTGTAATTATGCTTTGAAATTTTGAAGAAGACCTTAAAATTGAGCCGTGTCATGACAAAATCAACATAGTGCGTTTGCGACCAGCATGGATCCAGACCAGCCTGCGCATCAGCGCAGTCTAATCAGGATCCATGCTGTTCGCTATCAGTTTCTCTACTTGTAATAGAGTTGGTAAGCGAACAGCATGGATCCTGATCAGACTGCGCGGATGCATGCTGGTCTCAAACCCAATATGTTGGTTTTGTCATGACACGGCTCTTTTATTGACAAATCACACAATGAGAGAGCCTTCAGAGAGGAAGTGCATTGTCCAAAAACTAATATGCATTCTTGCTTGGTGTTTTAAAAAATAATCTCCCGTTATAATAGTTAACTAGAATTATTACTTAATGTGATTGATACCCCCACAAGACTGCTTCAGAAATGAGGAAGTAACAGAATACCTTTATAAAGAATTGAAATACAGTTATGGTTGTGGGCAATTAAAGATAGTTGTGGTTTTTGTATGTTGCATTTCCTTACAATATGGTTGACCATTGATGAAGATTTATTGAATTACTCTGTAATATATCCAGAAAGAGTTACGCTTCTTGAGCACTGTACTTCCTCTCATTGCGCTTGACCATTGTATGAAGTTGCATTGAATTCTAAACATTAGTTTTAAGTTATGCACCGGACAAGGAAAAGAAACAAAGGGCAATAACTCTACAAATACTGAAGATGGAGTTATAGTTATTGTACACTGCACTTCCTCTCATTTCGCTTGACCATTGTATGAAGTTGCATTGAATTCCAACAACTAGTTTTCAAGTTATGCACTAGACAAAAAAGTAACAAAGGGCAATAACTGTAATGAGTCAAAATAGAGTTATGCTTCTTCTGCACTGCACTTCATCTCACTGCCCTTGACCGTTGTATAAAGTTTTATTGAGTTCCAAACATTAAATTTCAAGATATGCGCTGGACATGTAAAAGTAACAAAGGGCAAAAACTCTTAAATGAATCAAGAAAGAGTTATGGTTTCTGTGCACTGCGCTTCCTCTCAATATACTTGACCTATTGATTCCAAATACTACTTTTCAAGTCATGCTCTGGGCAAGAAAAAAGCAAAGGAAAACTAACAAAGGGCAGTAACTCATTACTAGACAGAGTTATGGTTCTTGTGCACTGCACTTCCTCTTAATGTGCTTGTTGATTGTATGAAGCTGTATTGAATTCCAACTAGTAGTTTTCAAGTTATGCTCCGGACAAGGAAAAGTAACAAAATGCAATAACTCTGTTATTAGTCAAGATGGATATATGGTTCTTGTGCACTGCACTTTCTCTCAATGTGCTTGATCATTGTATTGAATTCCAACCATTAGTCTTCCAGTTATGCTCCAGACAAAAATAAGGAATGGAAAAGTTACAAAGGGCAATAACTCTGTAATATGACTTTAGATATGGTTATGGACTTCCTATTTTTGTGCTTGACCATTGTATGAAGTTGTTTTGAATTCCAACCAGTAGTTTTCAAGTTATGCTCCGGACAAGGAAAAGTAACAAAGGTCAATAACTCTATAATGAGTCATGATGGAGTTATGGTTCTTGTGCACTGTACTTCCTCTTAATGTGTTTGATCATTGTATGAAGTAATATTGAATTCCAACTTTTAGTCTTCAAGTTATGGTCCGGAGAAAAGAAAGCAATGGAAAAGTAACAAAGGGCAAGAACTCTGAAATTAATTTAGATAGGGTTCTGATTTTTGTGCACTGCACTTTCTCTCAATGTGCTTGACCATTGTATGAAAATGTATTAAATTCCAACCAGTAGTTTTTAAGTTATGCTCCGAACAAGGAAAAGTAACAAAGGGCAATAACTCTGTAATTAGTGAAGATAGAGTTATGGTTCTTGTGCACTGCACTTCCTCTCAATGTGCTTGACCACTGTATGAAGTTGTATTGAATTCCAACCATTAGTCTTCAAGTTATTCTCCGGACAAGGAAAATGCAACGGACGTCTGGACCGACCGACCGACCGACCACCGGGTGACTCCTATAATTAAGATGTAGCCCGGAATTCTATGATATGATATCTTTGGCAAACAGTTTTGGAACAAGGTCACTTATTAAATAGAAGAAAAATCTCATTCATGTTTGATGTCTATATTTAAATATTTTCTGATAAACGTTAAGATCCTGTAACACGATTTTTTATGGTTTTAAATCATAAATATGATGCTCAAATTAAGATTTATCAGTATTGTATCTTCCAAAAAGCATTATTTATAAAGATATTACCGAATTTAACATTTCATGTAAACAAAGGGATGTAATTAGAAATTTATTTTCTATAAAGTTTAAGTCAAATTTTCCAATAAGAAATGAATGCACATATTTTAATGATTACATATAATATTTTTTAGTTAGACACCTTCCGTTTTCCTCTTACTGGCGCTTAGAGCTTATACTCTTTTTTTTCCTACGCCATGATAAGATACAACACTTTTGTAATATGATAACATGTGTATTTATACAAGAATATTATTGCCATGTATTGTAAGTATATGTATTTATGCTGTAGCATGCATACAACTAAATAAACCTTCTGTTTTGTTCTGATAATGTCTATACATTAATTTGCGCGTTCGTGTGTGCGTAGATTAGTGTGTTCTAAAACATGAAAAAAAAAAACTATGTTGTCCTGTCATAACTTTTTTATTCGTATTATTCGATGTCGGAACATATGTAGCGCGTGCATCTGTGACTTTCACACACATTTATAGTTTTAACTGATGTGCATTGAAAAAAACAAACATTGTCAAATATGCATTCATCGCGCCCTTCCAAGATAATAAACAAACAAGAGGGCCCAGAGGGCCCTGGATCGCTCCCCTAAGAAATAGGTCAAACGGTCAAAATGGAGCCCCTTACCCTCCCAGAAGCACAATTTGAAAACAAGGGAATTTAATCTGAACAATTTTTGTACACTGTCACCGAGGAAATTTTTGTATAAAATTATTTCAAAATTGAACCAGTGGCTGAGATGTTGTTAAGATGTTGTTTTCTAATTTTAGCTCTAGCAGCCACTTTATTAAACAGTTCAGCCTGTCACTGTGTCAGGTGAGTTAATAAAACTATGGCAGAAAAAATGAAGGAAAACAAACATTTGAACTGGCTGGGGATTGAACTGTCGACCTCGATCCCCTGGGATGGAGCCAATTTTGACCCTAGGGGGTTTATTTCAACAAACATGGTAGACATACACTAGAACATGTTTTATGCTAAATATCTTTTGGATTTTCACAAGAATATTTTTGAAGTTTTTACTATATACATTAAAGGAAAATCAATGACCACTGGGGCCGGGACAATTTTGACCCTACTGGGATCCTACATATTACCGGACAAAATATGAAGTTTTTTATCTGTAACTTTTATTTAAAATAATAAAAAAGAATGGAATTTTACCCAAATAATTTTGGGTTCTTAATGCACGTAAACATTCCTTTATCAAACATGAAATTAAACATTTGACCGTAGAAATGTGTCTTTAAAGTAGGGCATTATAAGAGGAAAAAAATCGTGTAAACAACTCAATTTACCGGACATTGTGTTTCAAAATTTTTTGAAGTCGTGAATTGAAATTAATCTTTAAATAACCAGCAAGGAAACTACCATTATTGAATGGCAAGGTTAAGATATTTGAAAAACCCAGTATGTCACTAGAAATAGACACGGCAGCCATGCCTGTTATGAAGAGGCCAATATATAGGGTGTGACTGAAATTAACACTATTAACTCAATTAAAGTTTTGATCCTTCATGTCCTTAAACGTATGGCACATTTTGATATTCAAATGGAGTTCTGTTCTTTGTCATACAGTTTCCTTAAAAAGCAATAAAATCAATTTTATTTATATTTCATGTAGAGTTTCCTCCCATGGGTGTACCCGTAAATTTGCACTTCTTTGTAAAAGACAACAACGAGATACTGTTAAGACTAAATTTAAAATTACTTTTATCATTTAAAAATGTTACGATTGTCTCTCAAGGTAACGTTGAAAAGAATTAAAAGTAAAACCGATCTAAAAAAAACATTTAGGGTCTCCATATTCGGACTTGCGCAGAACAGATTATTCCCCCGCATGACCAGGTCATGAAATAACTTGTAAACAAAAAGGCATCTTAGTAGATAAAGAACTGAATCAACAATATTTACTTGAGAGTGGTGTTGTTGTTATTTACTTTGAAATAGAAAGTGTGTGTACAATTCAGAATGAATGATTTTTGAATCGAAGCAAATAATCAAGCACTTTTCAGCAGTGATAGCTTTTGTCCGGTAAACTGATTGTCCGGTAAATATGTATATAGGACCCCAGTCGGGCTTTTATTTGAACAGACTCGGCAGACATCCACTAGAAGATATTTATGCCAAATTGTCACAAAGTAAACCTTTTCGTAAATGCTCAGGAGTGCTTTGATTTTTGTAGTATTCAATTTCCCTGCCGAACCTCAGTTTTATACTAAATCCAATGCATACGAGTTATCGAGTAAAATTATTTATTTCAGTATTTTTATTGATGGCTTAAATTTCTTGGTATCATTTCAAGCATTTTGACATAATTTTCATAAAATTCAGTCCAGTAATAAATAAGAAAGTTATATTTTGTGATAAAGTGCAAATTTATTTATGTTCTATAAATTTCATATTACGGGCCTGTATATTTTGTTATACATGCGTTCTGGAATATAAGAAAATCGTGAAAGTTATATTTCATGCTTTCCACTCAGGATAACTATGCCTATGTAATGAACAGATTTTAAATCTGCTTTGGGGACTCACATATAGATGTTTAAAGACACACAAGGTCATTATGACTTGTTGTGTAAAATCTTTAAGCTTGCGCAAGGTAAATTTTTCTTTTCTTGTTGTTTTATTTAGTATTTTTTTGTTATTTCAGAAGATCGTAATTCAGTTAAATTTTTCATTACAAAATCGTTTTATAGAAATTTTATTTTGCATTTTGACAGTAAGTTTTCGATCTCTAATTTTTCGTCTTCTGTAGAGATTCATTCATTACTTGAATATTGGTAATCTGTTTATTATCATTGATAGTTGTTGTTAAGACTGGATGGTCGTTAATAAGATTTTGATTTTTTATGATTTTTTTGGGTAAAATAATCATTTGGTTTCCATGGTGACCAGAGTTCTCTATGGAATCTAATTCTTTGAACAGCTTTGGAAGAGCTTCATGCAAGGAACATACCTGCAAAGTTTCAACAAATGTCGCCAAGTGGTTTAGGAGGAGAAGTTTTCTACAGAAATTGTTGACGCATGTTCGAACTAATCCGAGCAATTACCTAGACAAGCATCCTGGCCAAGTTTGATGATAATTGAGTCAAACATGTGACCACTAGATTGTTAACAAGGTATTTCCATACTTGGGTGGTGAGACCTAGTTTTCATCTGAGATGACCCATGTTTGAACTCATTTGAGCAATTATTTAGACAAGCATCCTGACTAAGTTTGATGATAATTGAGTCAAAAATGTGACCACTAGAGTGTTCACAAGAATTTTCTATTTTTAGGTCCTTTAACCTAGTTTTTCATCCGAGATGACCCATGTTCAAACTCATCCGAGCAATTACTTAGACAAGCATTTTTTTACAAAGTTTTATGATAATTGAGTCAAAAAATGTGACCACTACAGTGTTAACAAAGTTTTTTCCATATTTTGGCGGTGTGACCTAGTTTTTCATCCGCGATGACCCATGTTCGAACTTGACCTAGAAATCATCAAAACAAACTTTCACACCAATTTACAGGCTATTTGGATCAAAACTGTAGCCACTAGAGTTTTATCAAGATTTTTTTATTTTTTAGCTCCTGTGACCTAGTTTTTAATCCGTGATGACCCATGTTCGAAGTCATGCGAGCAATTACCTAGACAAGCATCCTGACCAAGTTTGATGATAATTTAGTAAAAAATGTGGCCACTAGCTATAGAGTGTTAACAAGGGTTTTCCATATTTGGGCAGTTTGACCTAGGTTTTGACCCCAGGTGACCAATATTCTAACTTGACCTAGAAATCATTAGAATAAAGTTTCAGACCAATTTCCAGGATATTTGGATCAAAATAGTAGCCACTAGAGTGTTAACAATATTTTTCTATTTTTAGCTCCTGTGAACTAGTTTTTCATCCGAGATGACCCATGTTCTAACTTATCTGAGCAATTACCTAGTCAAGCATCCTGACCAAGTTTGATGATAATTGTGTCAAAAATGTGACCACTAAAGTGTTAACAAGGTTTTTCTATTTTTAGCTCCTGTGACCTAGTTTTTCATCTGAGATGACCCATGTTCAAACTCATTTGAGCAATTATTTAGACAAGCATCCTGACCAAGTTTGATGATAACTGACTAGAGTGTTCACAAGGTTTTTCTATTTTTAGCTCCTGTGACCTAGATTTTCATCCGAGACGACCCATGTTCAAATTCCCTAGATAAGCATCCTGACAAAGTTTGATGATGATTGAGGCAACAATGTGACCGCTAGAGTGTTAACGAACAAGTGTGGACGGACGGCGGACGAATTCAACGATCTTAAAAGCTCATACAGTCAGGTGCAAAAAGTATTGGTGATTTTAGCCGCCATATTGGATTTATCTGAATCAATTGATCATAGATTTCCTTCATATAAACAAGTAGTATCAGAGATTTAGAGAATGCATATAGAACTATCGTTGTTACTTGGTGACGATTATTGATTGACTTTTTAAAATGTAGATCTATCACACGGATTGCTGTCAATTCTTGTATCGTGCAAACCAAAGAAAAAAAACAACAACATTCTAATGAACAAAATACAAATATAACACAGAATAATGTTAACTATTCTAGCACGTATTTATACATGTATTCATAAATGTTATTGACCTTGTACTCATGGTACTGTAGCTTACAAAATTACAAATACATCTACATATAATAAATTGTATCTAGTATAGTGTAGAAGGAATTCGGGGTAAACTAAACACAGACATTTAAGATAAAATAGAACCTTTGAGGGCCTACTGTATCTCTGATAAATATTAAACCACTTAATTTCGACATTTTTTAAAGCTTTTATTTTAGACCATTCTTGCATAAAAAACTGCGCGCGCATGTATACATTAACGGACAAGAAAATATGCATTCTAGCACGCTTCACATTAGCTTTCGATCAAACAGACAGGACTGACAAAGACATTATATAACACAATTATTATATGCACATCATAAAAAGGGAATGATTCGGTGTCACATGACGTCAAATATGACGTTAATAAATCAAATGACGTCAGGAAAATTTCTTCCATGCTAACATTTTATGTAGTTCAACATATTTTATCAATTCTCTTCTTAGCATGTAAGAATAGGAGTTAAAGTGTACTTAATATTATTTTTCTTGCATAATAGTACAACTATGCACAGGTTATCGTTCGAATGCTTTGTACTTTCACGCAATGCACCATTTTTCGTGCATTAACATCTGCAATAAAAGCCCCCTGACATTAAAGTAAGTGTTTTTTATGCCGCGATGTTAATGCACGTAAAATGTGTATTTGAGTGTATTGCTTTTCGTTGTGAAATAACATACCAGTACTCTGACTGACATAAATGTCAGTAACACACTCTTATTAATAGGATTTAACTCAATATGTATTGACAGGATTGGAGCAGTAACTCTAGACGCTTGCAGAAATCATGATTACAAAATAGACAAATATCGTTTTTTTCGCAGATTTTTACATTTTTCATTCATTATCATGCATAAATCTGTGTTAAAAGATGGATAAGACCTTTTAAAGTTCATTCCTTTGGGTAAAAAGGCAAGATTTTAGTACTTTATTATTCAAGCGCCTTGTCCGGTATATACCTGAATACGGTTTTTAGTGTGGTGTTCAAATCCTTTTTTTAGTCCCACTTATATATACCATTGCTATTTTGATTAGCATCACGTTGTCCCTTGTTCTGCGATCTTAAAAATGTTAAACATCTTTTTTCCTTTGGTACAATATTTCATGTGCAATCGTAGTAATTTGGGGCCTGTAAACAGCAAGGGGGAATCCTCCAGAATGTGAGCTCCCATCCTGAGACGTATTTACCGGCATGGAAATTCTTTCAGGCACACCATCACCAGAACAGTTTTCAGTGACAGAATTCGTATCAGAGACATGCATGGAAATGCCACCAGATGTAGAACAGCTATCAGTGACTTTAGCATTTTTCTCCTCTCGCTCTCTGGCACGCTGTAATAATATCAAACAATGATTTTTAACTTCACTGCTTTTAAAGTTAAACATAATATTCATTCATAATTAATAAGAACAAAAATATCTTAATAAAGAACAAAAGGATTATAAAATTGTTATAAGATAAGAAAAAACTGTGACAGTATTTAATTATCTTACCTTTTTAAGAATTTTAAGAGCTGATTCAGAATCATACATAACGTTAGCTTTTCCCATAACTTTTTTCACTTCATCAAGATCGTAACCCATAGCAACAATATTTGAAATACTTTCATTAACTTCTTTGTGAAAGCGTTCATTTTCTTCTCTTCTTAGTTTATCTTCTTCCATTTCAGCTGCCAAAAACGTAATATACACTGGGAATTAACTCACTACACAGTGTTATAGCAGTGTCTATAGGCGTTTTCAAAAATCATAATTACGAAATAGTAATTTATTTTCGTCGGCTCTTAAATTTTTTCCTACCCTACATTATTGTAAAAACGAAATTTTAGCATATAATCATTTCAGCGCCGCCCTGGACGGTATACAGTATTGGTGCTCATTCAAAACAATGTTACAGTTTGTCACAATGTGCAACTGAAACATTTGTTTTTTAGATTACGCCATTATTCTGAATAACAGAAATATCATAATAGACAAAAGGATCATAATGGCCCTAATATAGCTAACCTAATTAAAAAGGCGCTTAAAGGAACAATAATTATTGTTAATCATAAATGAAAGGCAGATATAATGCCTTAGCCGCATGGGTGCTATATTAAGAGATCAGAACGAGGCGCAAAATAGAAGTAGAAGAATTGTATGCAAATCCAATATGTTTACCGACAGGTAAATTGTTCGTAAATTCAGCCATAAATTAAAGGACTTTAATTATTATACAATTATGTTGTATGTTTCATAATCCCTGCCCATACAGGTCTTTAGATTTAGCTTGTTATGTTACGTACATTTCAACACATGTACAATTATGCATGTCACAAATTAATGCGTAGGACTGCTGCATTTGTCACAAGATACATGTATAACATTTGTTCTCTTGCTTGTAAGGTCTTCAAGCATTTAAATCTGAAAATCTCCGGTCTGGATTTAAACTGTTGGTATTTATCCACTTGATAGAGAAGCAGTAATAACTAACGGTAACATTGTCGCAAAATACGCACGTCACAAAAGCTTTTGACAGAGATGTAGGCACTATAGATATGCATATATGAGATATGCTCTGGGCAATATCTGGATATTCATTAATCTGTAGTGACCTTGACCTTGCAAATAGTAATCAAAATTACATGTATCACATTTGTAGTCATGCAGGTTATCATTTGTGTAACAATCAATCAATCAATGATGACTAAATGATCCCTGTATACATCTTTTGACCTCTATTTGACCTTGACTTTAGTAGTAGGGACCTAGATTGTGCGTGCAATACTTAGCCTCACAATGGTGAACATTTTTTCCAAGTTACATTATAATCCTCCTATGAATGTTAAAGTTTTGCTCCGAATAAGCATTTTTGAATGACCTTTAAGTGTGACCTTAACCTTAAATCTAGAGACCGTGTTCATGCATGTGACACTGCTCCTCTTATTGGTGAACCATTTTTTTTTTGAAGTTCCATGCTTGTAGTATATATGCTCTGGACAAAATCGTATATTTGATCATTTTCAGCGACATTGAACTTGCAAATATTAAAGAAGAGCAGAACTATAAAAACAGTCAAAATGAACTACTTTGTTATACTGACTGTTGTTCTGTTAAATGTTTTAAAACAGTTTTTGACATTAAATGTTCACATGGACTAAGCAGTCATCAAAAACCAAATAATTGAACGTTGGTGTGCCCTAACAGAACTATGGGATGTGAATGGCATAAAGCAAATCAAAAAGACCGCCTCATATTTATAAATGTAAACAAATTGTGACATTGACACTTGTTGAAGAAGATCCAGTTGTGTAAGAATCGTTAGGATTATGAAAAAATATTTTTTAAACAGATCAGTAACGTATATTTTACAAATTACGGCTCGGGATATATTCTTTCTATTAAAGACATCAACAAATAAACACTGCCATATATGAAATCAAGCTAAATTGTGCCTGATATGTTTCCATGATTTAAACACACTTTCTTTCCTTCTGTGTTCAATGGGGGAATGCGGGTCATACCAGAATAGTTATATACCGGTATAATGCATTTCAGAGCTCATTCAACATTTACTTCTTTTTATGGCATACTTAGATAGATGAAATATGCATATACTTAGATCAATATGAACAGCTAAAGATCTGGTCAAATCAACGCTTTTTTAAAAAGAAGGAAAAAATAGGAAAAAGACCAAGAAATTGACAGGGTTTGGCAATTTGTACTTGGTAAACAAATAAGCCTACCTTAAAACTAATGATACATTGACATAAATACTCACCTATATATCTTTTCTGACGCTCGCTGTCAACAATACGCTTCATAAATGTATCAAATTCTTCAACGGTTTCAATTTCTGCAGGTAGCTGACACATTGCAGTCATGCCTTGAAGTAAGCATTCTTTGTCTTTTGTTATGTCCATGTGACAATCCATGAGACTAACAAGGTGAATATGTTTATTTACTATACTTATAACAAAATATTGCTGCCTGCAAACATTTAGCTCATTTATGACTGATTGTAAACAATCTATTATAGATCTATCGTCCTTTTCACATTTAATGTCATGGTGGATACACACAGTTTTCATCATATATGAGGTAAATGTGTCCAGAAGTACTCTCTCGTATAATTTTACAATATACTTGAGAAATACATAGATGATCTTGTGCTCGGGTTTCATGACAGTCAATATGTACTCAACCTCTGCTTCCGTTACAGTAACTTTAAAATCAGATTCTCTTTCAGTCCCGACAAGCAATAGAGATTTGCGTCGAAGAACAACTTCAGCAAACTGTGGACCAGCGCAGTCCTCAGCTTGGAAACAGTCGTGGATTTTATGATATCTTATTGCTGGTGAAACATCAACCGATATCTTCCTGTTCTCGTATTCAAAGTTTAGAATGACATTGGGTGCTCTAAAAACAGCGCCTTTGAAAAATAAAGTCACATCATTCACGGCTGGTAAGACAATTATGCAATCTTCTATGGCAGTTGGTGTCTTTGCTGACGTAAATTTTCGTTTCAAGTTTCTGATAAACTTAAATACCGTGTCGATAACAACATGTCCAAATCTTTTTTCACCCATTCCTGGGAAGTTTATGGGTTGAAAACATCTCAGATGACCGTCTTTACAAAGTCCGCTCCATTTCAACTTTGATTCTTCGTCTGCTAATACGACTTTTACCAAGCCTTTATTAATATCGCTTTCACTTGTATCTATTTCTATCACATCCGGTTTTGACAATTCTTCAATGACAGCTAAATAGTCAAATTCGTCTGCATGTATTATTTTAGTTCCCTCGGCGTAACTTCCAACTGGAATTAATTCTGATACTTTATAAAGAGGGTTAATTTGTTCTACCTGATCGAGCCAGGTGTTAATATGAAACCTTATTACATCACGAATTATTTCTGACCTCTCATTTGTTGTCTCAGTCTGAGCCTTTCTGACTACACCTTCAACTAAAAGCGAAAATTTCAGGTCGTCTTCAAATGCACTTTCAGCCATTTCCTACAACATATTAAGATAGAAGATTAGTTGTACTTAAAAGTCAGTAGAACTTCGGCATATTTTGTAACTTTCAACCTGTTAACTACATTGTATATTTATTATGATCGAATACCTAATATGCCCATATGCTGTCACATTATAAAAAGTTTAATTAAAAGGTATTTTCAAATAAATAAGTTTAAAGGAGAAGTTGTTTAAGGCCTTTTATCTTAAGATGAACTTTGCTCCCTGAAAAGTATTTTGCGTTACAAAAAAAAATTGTTGTTGTTGTCACTTAAGGCATCAACATGTTTTATTCTCTTAAAGGCTGAGGCTTTTTTAATGAACAGTTTTGGGTGTAATATGAATTTAGAATTTCACCGCTGGGAATGTGCTTCATTATCGTGACTTTCGGTCTGGTCCAGGCTGAAAGTAGTTTAGATTCTTATAGATGTTTTTGTGGTTCGCTTGAAATAAATTAGATCCTGTGTCTAGTCATATATTTCCTTAGACCATGCACCATAGTGTCATCTCTACATTGGCTCATAAATGTGCAGATTTGATTTGACATTTTGAAACTTTGAATAGAGCGACCAACGCATTTTTCGCCCATTCTGACATTAATTTAGCATGCCTATAAAAAGTAAAACTACAAAGCTTTAGTCCTTTGTGTCTAGAAACTTTTATTCAAGGTAAATACCAATTTAATCTATTTTCTCAAACGCGTTAGGAAAAATAAACAGTATACAGTATAGAGCGATGTGAAATGTGCAAGGGTACAGTATAGACCAAGCAACGTTGGTCCGATTTTGTAACATTTTATACCCAGATTTCGGTTACAGTTGACATACTTGCCAAATGTCAAAAACAGTTCGTGTATCCATTATTTTTATTTTAGATACTCCCGAATTTTCTATTTAATATATTCTTTAAAGTGTTATATTTTTCTTCAGCAAAAAAGTTATAGTTTGCTATTTTCCTTACTTTAAGTTCAGATTGAGACTTTTTGCAAAATAATTAATGGTTATTTGTTGGTGCTATTACATATAATAAAGCTTATTTCTAGTTGAAACTTCCGACTACAAAATTAATGTACTTAATGTATTTTGTAAGTATTTAAAAATGGTTGAATTGTCTAGTTTTAAGGATTGTTTAATTAACTACAGGCGATTCATTTAAAAACACAAATAAATGTTTTTGAAATATATTAATACAAAACTTATTTTGACAAAATCTGTGTTTGTAATTCTTGTTTTATTTTTTTTTTAAATTCACCGACATGAAGGTTAGTTGACAACTTTCAAGCTTTACTGGCGAAGGAAGACACAAGACATCCATTTGTGACATTTCAGACACGACTGGGCAACTGTCTAGAACTACGGACCTTCAGTAAACTAGCTTACAAAGAATTTTTTGTGAACATTTGTACCAAGTAATTTCAAAAGCCCTTGATCTATGAAACAGTTATGGACTGGACACAAAATATACAAAGTGAGATTCTGAGAGACCATGTTAACTGTTACCTCTATGTCTGACTTCGATCTTGGATGATGTAGATATCTGGGCGTTGCACATGACAGATGTGTAGTAAATGTAACCGAAATTTGGGTATAAACTATCGAAATCGGATCAAAGCCGCTTGTTATATACTGTAACTTTGTGAAATTCACCTCGCTCTGTACTATAACATTGTTTACGTTTGACGAACAAAAACATCAGTTTAATTAGTCATTTACATTTATAAATGTTTCTAAACACAACCCAACAAACATTTTATTCAGAATATCGCTGTCGGTCCGATATCTATCCGATACAGACAAACTTGCTTAAGAGCAATGATATTGGTCAGATTTAATCCTGATACACATTAATTTCCTGTTATTCAATTAATTGAGGTTTTCTATATTTTCTTCTCAAATGCATTTGAGCAAGAAATCGATGCTTTTGGAAAAGAGCAATTAAGTCGTTTTAATACAAAAAATAATATCGGTGCTATATCGGTATTATTGTCTTTTCCCTATTTAGTAACATGACTTAGGTATTTTTGTTCAAACTTTTTTATTTTCATTCCTTTAAAGCAAACATGTAAACATTATTATTTAGGTTTGTATGTGTGTTAGCTATTAAACATGCATGGTTCATAAACATTGTAGTATGTATGTGTAAATATATTATGTACATTTATATGAGAGTTTATTTCTGCTGATGTAATATAAGTTTTTTTTGCAAAATAAATATATGTTCTGTTATGTGTTAAAGCCCCTATGCAAAGGAAATCAAACCAATATGCAGGTAGAAAAAAATCTTATTATGAATTTAACTTTGACATCGGCTTTAAGTCGGTAAAACGATTTCGGCCCGACCTTAAACCGGGTTGCACATCCGACGTCGAGCCGGCATTTCAGATGTCAATATCGGTCCTATATGTAATGTTAGCTGGGAAAGGACTAACGTTTTGTAATTTCAATTTTTGTAGTTATGCTTAATGTCAGAATGATCGAATGCGGTTTCTCGATTCAAAATTTCAAACTGTCAAATATGCACATTTATGAACCAATATAGAGACGAAAGTGTGGCGCAAGGTATAAAGAAATATATGAATAGATATAGGATCCAGCTCTTTACAATCAAAGCACAAAAACATTTTTAAAATATACTAGACTAAGCAAACTACTTGCAGTCTGGACCGGAATCACTGCGGTATACCGTACCCCGGATATTGCTCGATATTATGAGGACTTTCATCCCATTTCGCGACTTCGAACGAGGAAAGAAGGTATGTTTAGTGAGGATATTTAGTCATTTTGAATTGGTTTGATATAAATTTTGTAGAAAAACAAATGCTTCGATAATTTCTCTAGTTACTGAAACCCCAAAAATGTTGAGAAATAGCTTTGAAATGTAATTAGGAGGTAAAATTCGTCTCTTTGCTCACGTGATAAATGAGCTCGGATCAGTCAAATTTGATGTTTTTGTGCATATACTTCCTTAAAAGAAAAACTTGAATCGAGTGAAATGTGATAATGATGATAATGTTTATGTTGTAAATGTTCAATCAACAATAGAACCTCAGATGACAGTGCATTTTGAGAATAAATACACATTTCAGTGTACCGAGTATTGCTTTGGAGTTGCCCGCCGGTGTCACGAGTATTGCTTTTTAGTGTAACGAGTATTGGTTATCAATAAAGAGTAAACACAAAGTATTTACCACATTTAATTTTAAATATTTCTTACTGTGTATACTTATTTACACTACTAGTATATGTGCAGAATATGCAGAATTCGGAGTTACTTTACTGGAAACATCTGCGAATAATCCAGATTTTCATTCCTGCTCGTGAAAAATCTCAGTTTTCTGTGTTAAAATGTTCTCGTTGATATCGAAGGATCAACCTTTCCAGAATTTGTTAATAATTATTGCATATCTTACTTTAAATAGTAAAAATAATGCACCCAAAGTGCATTAATACTGCCTCAAGATTGTCAATATTAGACGGTATTGAGCAAGTGTACCAAAATCTCATATCAACCGACTTCCTACTATGCCAAAAATCCATATAAAGGTAACTTTCGGACATTTTGCACCTGCACTCTAGATAGCAACGGCAGACCGTCTGCACGTGAAATTTTGTTACGCCTTAGCAATGAGTTACCGTATGACTGCCGAGCGGGTACAGCTAAAAAACCGAATAATGGATTTTGATAAGATTATGATAAAGGGCAGCAGATGCAATAAAAAGGTTATGTTCCTTATAACCTTTTACCTCATAAATGCCTGTTTTGAAGGCTTTACAACCCCACCCCTTTTGAGGCCTCAAATAGTGTAAAACATGCGCTATTTAGGCCCCAAACACTGTTTTTTCGTTTGAGAAATGTTGTTCAAAAGAGTAATTACTTTGTATTTTATGAAGTGCGTCGATATGTTTCTTAAGGCAAACTTGCCCTGTAAAAACCTATTATTAATGTCATCTAAATATGTTTTTTTATTCTTGTCCTTTTCAGAGAAAGGTCTCCTTGATCAAAGTTTCTTTAAAGTTTTTTATCGTCAATTTTGATGGTTGTACCCTGCTTCCGACCCTGCACACACTTTATTTCATCCATAGTGTGATTTTCAATCAAATGGGAAATTAAATCTCTGTATTTGACGGTAGGAAAAGAACAGTAATAACACTGAAAATGCATTGTTGAATCTGAAATATTTGAATAAATATCATATAAACAGTACATTATCAGAAAAATGAAATTGAATCGATAAACAGACGTGAAAAATTAGAAAAAAATATCGATTTTCCATACTAATGTGCTCATTCTGTTTTGCAATACTCTGTACACTAAAGTTGGGCTATTTTGCAATACTCTGTACACTTAAAATCAATACTCGGTACACTTTCTTGTATCTTTTTTGGCCTGTATCTTTTTGTACTTTCACACTTTTTGCCTAAAATTTGGACAAGGCATACTTGGATTGTGAATAAAAAAATTGCTCGATTCAATTTTTTTTCATATTGGTAATATAATAATTTCTAACGATTCTACAGTATCGCGGTCAGTATTTTCTAGTGAGCAGCGGATCGTTTAGGGGTAGTTTAATCAATTTTACAAATACCTGTAATACTTTTACGTCTTTTAGAGCTACAAAAATACCTCTAGATATATAAAACCCGTTGAGATAAATGAAATAGCCATTAGTTTGGAAAATATCGTCGCTGAACTTACCTTCGTTCCCCGTTCAAAGTCGCGAAATGGGATGAAAGTCCTCATAATATCATGCAATATCCGGGGTACGGTATACCGCAGTGGGAATAACAGTCACCTGTTTTACCTACAAATAATCCTCTATCTTGAAAATTCTATACTGTAACCGGTAAACGCGATACTGTAACACGTTCCCTACGGCGATTATCCCTAAAATAATAAACCTGCACTTGTAGGGGAAACACAAGTATGATTACGGAACAAATTAAGATGGGGAAATGGTTACAGAACAAATTAAGATAGGCGAAAAATAGCAAATAATTAGTGCTACGTAGGTGACTGGATGATAATAGGAACGTTTATTATGAAAATTATATATGTTAGAAACTTACACTATGTTTCTTCAGAAAAGCATGAAATACTGTTTTAAGTTAGTAAGAACATTTAAATCCGGTGTGATCAGTAGTAAGGGGGTAGGGCTGGGATTGGGGTTTGGGGAGCTGTCTAAATATGTTAATTAAGCCACACATGAATAACCAGATGTTTGCTATATATAAGGTGTATAAGTCTCACATCTTTAGAACGAATGTATAAAATATAGGTTTGTGTGGAAAATCAATACAGCAGTCTGACATATACAACATATCTTAATTTAATTTACACTTCTGTAACATTTATTACAATTGACCTTTTTAAAGGGAAATAATATGAAATAAGTAAAAATAAATATACTCAGATATAAGTAAAATCATCGATTTTCAGTGCGATTCGTAGGTGGCATTATGTACAAGGCGTTTTTGATCATTTTGTCAAATAAAAATTATTATTGATTATTCTGGATAAACAGAGTGAGCGAATTAATATTAACGTCGCAAAAGTACTTTTTATTTGTTATTTTCATGGCTTATGGTAAACACCAGAATATAATAAGGCTGAAAATTCATGCTACACGCCTGCACAAATAAAAGAAATTGAGGTCATAGTGAAAAGATAACGATCCTTATTTATGAGTAAAATAAACCATTAAACACACAGATAATATGTAAAAATTCCACCACAGATAATATATAAAAATATCACCAACTTACTTAATCTTCATCTCTTCAGATTACTATCCAGTATATTCGTAGATATATAAGTAAATGTAGATCGATCATCTCATAAGTCTGTAGTCGAAATATCAACGCGATCAGAGCTAGATTTTGACCATGTCAAAAATTATCTAAATATCCCGTAGGTTAAAATATTTTGACTAATAAGTCTGCTAATCATGTTCACGTGTATACCGGAAACTGCCGTTTCATTATCATTTATAGAGCTAGCGGATTGCTTAATAGACGAATGTATATCTACTAGCAGCCGCGTGCACACGTCGTCTAGTGAAATGGCCGTATATAGTGTGTGGCTGTGTAGCGAATTGGCTATCTATTACACTTCAGGAACAAAATATCCCAACACTTGAGTGTATACAATGGCACAGTCTAAACGCTCACAATAATTAAAGAGAAAGAGCGAAACACGGACGATATAAATAGCAGATGGTTAATTTGGCGATGGTAGCTTGATAATAATTGGATATAATGGCACGTGTTTTAATTTACAATTAAAATCCGTGATAATGGAAATCTGATAAATTTAGTTAATAGTGCTTTGAAAGAATTAAAAAAAGATTGAATTTTATGTCACTTTTATTACGTTTTATTATAGATACATTTATATTTTATATGATAATTCATGTTTGTTACTCCATTATCCTTCAAAAATAACTTTCTTCGTATAGATATTGCAATAAATGGTAAGGGTAGTTAGACTTTTTACGTCTTCATCTAAAACTATTCTTACGTGCATATACAGTATAGGACACTCGCGGACGATAAAGAAAGTAAACGGACAAAAAAGCATAAAGTAAAATAACACTGGCGATACAGTTGTAAATAATCTAATAGAAACGAAGTATAATTAAATACTTACATTTATATTTACATTTTATTTTGCTGAACAAACATATATATCTTGTAAAAACGTCTATAATGACTCATTTAGTGTTCTCAAATGCTGGGATTTCAACATAAAGACAAGATGTATTATGTCTCTCAAGTGTTGGGATTTTAACATGTAGACAAGATATTTCTATATACAGTGGTTCCAAAAATTTATGCTGTTTTGCAATTTTTCGATGTCCCGGATACGTTATTATGTATTAATAACTTTAGTTAATCGGTACTTTGGCAGAAATTATTTGCCAATGCTTAAAACACTAGAAAATATGCAAAAACACCACAAAATGAGATTTTAATACCTTACACCATTCTCAAAAATATTCAAAATCGGTCCTTTTGCCTTGTCGCTAGTAACGGTAGTATATTTCAAATGAGTATTAACAACAGTTAATGAAATTTCTAAGAAAAAAACTTTTCTCATAAACTAAAATAGACCTATCTTGTAAAGAAGAAAAATATCTAGTCCAGTTCAAAACCCCACAGCTCGGTTTGATACTTCTATGTCTCCAAAATAGTATTAACTTCCGTTACAGTTATCAAACTTTGTTTTATTATGGTATGTACATTCAATAATGTCGTGTATATGGGATATAATATCAGTGGATTTTGTTAAAAATTGTTATATTACCCTTATATGTTATCAAAGTTACATATTCGAGCATCATAGCCCATTATACAGTTTCCACTGAGAAAAAACAAAAACGTGTTTAACTTCCGTGACCAAAAGTTTAGGAACATTGCAAGGTATAACTTCCCTATAATGGTTCATAATGATTTTTTAGGCTTACAAGAAGATGGTGTAATGGTTGTTATTATTTTAAAATTGATATAAATATTGAAAATCGGTTTTCAAAGAACATTTTTTTTAACTTCCGTTACTGTTAACTTCCGTGACATTTTTGGTAATTGTTATCCTACCTATGCTATTATGATGTTAAAAGATATTTGAAACACTCTAAAAGTATTGTTTAGATCAAAGCCAGCATACTTTGAAAAATGCAAAAAAGTTGCAATAATATTAATTCAAAATTAGCTTCTATCGTTAACTGGTGTTCATTAATATTCTGTACAATTTCACTCTAACAAAAGTTTTATTCGAAAAAGAAAGTTATCTTTGTGAGAACTGTATTTCTGTGAATGGAGAAATGTAGCAATTTGAAATCTTTTGTACTTCCATGTACATGCGTGATGATGCTAATGTCGTAGGAAAATGTATCTGCACAGTAACGGAAGTTAAATTCCAAATTGATTAAATTCTTTGATTGCAAAAGATAGAAAAGTGTATTTAACAATATGTTTTTATACATAAGCACATGCAGTTATTACCAATCGTAATTTTTATTTACAATATCGTGGCCAAAACAATGTTGTTCTTAGAAATTCAAGCAAGGGTAACGGAAGTTAAAAATAATTTGGCGGTTTTGTCTTCCTTTGCAAATAACCTGCATTAAGACAAAATTATTTGACAGAAAGTAGCACTCCATCCCACAATATAAAAAAACCAACTTCATGTGACATTTACCTTACAACGTTCATCTTGAGAGTTCTGCATATGTAAAGTGTGTGGTAACGGAAGTTAATAGGATTCTGGTCTGTTTCAATAAACCAGTTTGATCCAATCATTGATACAGAATAATAATCATTGGATTGGCAAAACTAGAATTTTTTTGTGGTGTTGTATGACAAATGTTATATATTTTACTTGAATTAAGCCAAAGTTATACCAAACATTATGCATTATAAATAAATTGATTTTTGTTCTTATCCTTAGTTATGTGTTCGCCATATCTATAAAGCGATGGTCATTAAAGAGCTAAAAGAAGCATATATTTTACCAAATTGACTGCAATTATTAAAATAATCCACTTCTATATAATACAACAACAAATATGTATAAGATAATTAGTTTGTATCATTTTCTATTATATTTTCACTGAGTTTAATGTTATCATTTTATTGGAATCAAAATTGAACCCGCTTCATGAGCTCTAGGACCTTTATGGAAAACTGAACATGGCTTTAGTATGTAACGGAAAGACCTAGTATTAATATATTTGTTGTCTAATTGGTGTGTGCCCTTTACCAAAACTGATAATTCTTGACATTTGGTGACACGATTTGACAAGTGCAGCTGGTCTCTACATGCTAAAAATATCTTTTATGACATTTTAAGTGAATAATAACTTTGATATCTGATAAAAAATACATCTTATATATATATAAACTGTGAAATTTTACAGAGGTCATGGTCATACTGAATAATTAATGAAGTATTCTAATTTTCTAAATAAAGCCATTATTTTTTGACTGATGCAAGATACTTGGGAAGAAAGTAAAACATGTAAAAAGAAAATAATCCGTCTCTTCCTGTGGAATTTGAAGTGGTCAAGGTCACAAAGTAACGAATTTTCCTTATAGAGTTCATTATGATCTCACATACCTGAACCAAAGATGATATGGTATTTGCAATATTTATTCAAGTAAGCCATATATCGCCCAAATAGCCCTCTTGTTAATATACTGAATTTAGATATGACATAGATATATTACTGGCAAATATATTAAGTCATGAATATTGTCAAAATGTTTGCCTTAATTTTCCATCTTTCAAAGCAAAATGCTTTAATTTATTAATTATTTTGTTTGATACAAATCAGGGAAACTGTACAGATACATTTAGATTGTTAAAAATGATGCTATGTTGGTCAGACGTCAGTTGATGCATTTGAAATCAAATTTATTAAACCATACAAACATACATGAAAAATTGTTAACATCCGTTACCTAAGTAAAATACATATTATTGATACAATTTCTCCAGCAAATGCCAGTATTTGCTAAACAGTGAGTTCCAAATATTTAACACTTGAAGCAAATCTTTTGTTTACGAAACATTCTTTATTTGATTTTTTTTTAAATTTCATAAACCTTTACATTGAAAAATAATATACCACTGTTACAAACATAACCGTGTTTCTTGGAAGGCACCTTTCCAGCTTGTATGAGTATGCTGTAGGACTTTTATGTTATTTTGTATTATGCACACTCATGCTGCAAACAATTTACTTAACTTGCCCGATATACATTAGAGGCAAGTTATTTGAAGTAAAATATAAAATGTTTGACAGCAAATATCTGACAGTTTAACTTCCGTTACTGACTCTATATGTAAAACTAACAAGTACAAGAAAACATAATTTGATAACATTTGGTAACAGGTAATGCCATGGTTTTTGTTGAATATGTATATAGCTGAATATGACAAAAGTGTAACACTCTTTCTCTTTTCATTAGTTTTGCGATTGTTTTCTTATAAGAAAATAGTCACGTTTTAAACCTGCTCACTTATGTTATTCTCTGTGTTATTATTTTTATTAAAATGGTCTTTAGTGTCAAATATTCTGTATATATTTTATATATAAGATCTCTTCTGCTTGCCAATATGTTTTAATCATTGATAAACTGAGATCTAGAACAGTAAAATGCTTCATATTTGACCCTGCTCAGAAGTTTAACTTCCGTTACATTGAAAATAAGGTGTACATTTTTGAGTCAAAGCAATTTGAAAATCGGTCACATTTGGTGAGCAATGTTTTGTAACAAGTCGCCTAACATATTTTACTTATTGAAAAAGTTGTTAAATCATGATTTCATGTTGATTGATTTTAAGTCATTTTTCATATCTGAAAACAGCATAAATTTCTGGATTGACTGTATAATGACCTTCAAATGTTGGGATTTCAACATGTAGACAAGATATATGTATAATGTCTCTCAAGTGTTAAGATTTAAACATATTGAAACGATATATGTATGAGGTCTCTGAAGTGTTGGGATTTCAACATATAGAAAAGATATTTGTATAAACAAGATATATGTAGTATATCTCTCAATGTTTGGGATTTTAACGTCTAGACATGATATTTCTATAATGTCCCTCAAGTGTTGGGATTTCAACATATAGACAAGATGTATGTATTATGACCCTCAAATGTTGGGATTTCAACATATAGACAAGATATATGTAATATGTCTCTCAAGTGTTGGGATTTCAACACATACACATGCTATGTATTACGTCTATCAAGTCTTGGAATTTTAACGTCCGGACAAGATATTTCTATAATGTCCCTCAAGTGTTGGGATTTCAACATATAAACAAGATATATGTATTATGTCTCTCAAGTGTTGGGATTTTAATGTGTAGACAAGATATTTCTATAATGACCCTCAAGTGTTGGGATTTCAACAAATAGACAAGATGTATGTATTATGTCTCTCAAGTGTTGGGATTTTAACATATAGACAAGATATATGTATAATGTCTCTCAAGTGTTGGGATTTTAACGTCTAGAAAAAATCTTTCAATAATGACCCTCA